AATGGGGGAAATGTCCTGGGAAAATTATCTCTACTTGTTTGTCCCCTTGTGCCTCTGATAACTGGCTGCTGTTGATCACAGGGGAGTAAGTTGATGTACCCCTTGTTCTGACCTTCTGTAACCAGTTCTTACATCAAGCACTTACCTGTCCTTACTGTTAGGGAACTTTTTATTATGCCTATCCTAAAAATCTCTTGCTGGAGTTTAGTTCATTACTTCTTGTCTGCCAAAGTGAGGAAACAGTTTAATTTCTTGGGTATTTTTGTCTTTGAAAGCCTCTTCTTCAGAGAGAAGCTTTGTAATTCCAGTTCCCTTAGATTACCAACTGAGCAACAGGCTTAGTTTCCCATTCTTCAAATAAGCAAAATGTGGAGGTTTACCACAATCTATTAAAAAAAAAGCCACCCCAAAACTTAGTAACTATCAGTTACTTCTAATGTGACTCAATAGCTGTTCGCAACAGAAGAGTTCAAAGTACCGTATGTGCTATTTTGTTTTATTGGCTTGGGTACATTATTTAAATCACTGTTTATGTTCTATGAACTAATGTTAGACAGAGATTATAGCACTTTGGTGATAGTCTTTCAGAACTGCATGTTTGAAAAGGAGTAGATTTTCTGCAGTTGTTAACTAAGGTAGAGGTGAAGAGCCTGTTAGTATTTGATAACTTGTGTCTCAAAACAACCAGATCTAAATTTTATTCCCTGTTATACACATCTGACACTTGTCATATATCTATACATTTGAGTCATCCTTTATTTATGTAGTATATATTATAAGCAAGACTTAATAGGTAGATTTGGTCAAACAGGCACAGAAGGCAGATTTTTCTCAGTAGGGGAGATGCAGTTTTACAGTTATTTGTCAAGAAACTTCATTTTGAGAAAAAGTTTCTTCTGATGAAATACTTTGTGAAACCAGGTATAAAAAGTAATATAAAATCACTTATGCATATTTGCTGACACCTTGTGATACTTTCTGATGTGTTTTACAAAATGCTTCTTAAAACGTAAGCCTTACAGTGGTTTAATTAGTTTGTAGGCTGAAATCTCAGATGATGTAAATATTGTGTAAATAAATACATTTTTTAAAAATAATTTTTTTTTTCAACAGCACACTAGAAAGCCAAAATTGGCCTACTGAACAAAAAGTAATTCTTTAGAAACTGGAGATGGATCTGAGCATATACATGCTGTATGACTGCTACATAAGTTTTTTTCTCCTGCAACAAATGATCAAAGAGCCACTGTTGGTATCTTGCATGTCTGCTGGGTTCAGTAGCACTAGCTGCACCAGGAATTGGAGCAATGGACACAGGGGAGTTTTAGTCCTGTGTGCTAATGTGGTTCTGCAGCTCCAGCTTCACGTCCTACTGAAGCCGTATGCCAAAGATGTTTTTTTAGTTCTGATTTGTTTGTGTGCTGCATGAATTTGGAAGAGGAGGTGGCTGAAATCTGCCAGCCTAGAGCATGAAGCAGCATGAAAATGTTGCAGCTGCATGTCGGGCACATCATTTGGTGTCATCTTCTATCTCTGTAACTATGTCATGTTGTAAAATGGATGTTTTCTCCTGTGTATGATTCCCCTTTTCTCACATTCTTAAAGTACAGGAATCCTCTGTTAGTGATACATGTTGATTTTACATCCATATAACTCCAGTGAAGCAAAGTAAACAGGAGGAGTAAACAGACAGGTCCTAGTTATTTCTATTACTGGAAAAAATAGGCTAGAGAATTTTTTTCCTAAGGCAAATTTGACAAAAACTGAATTTTTATAAATTTATGGTCTATCTGGAAAACGAGGATTTTCCAAATTTCTAGTGCTAGGTTGCTTGAGAGGAGATGTTTAATATCAAGGAGTTTTGTCCAGAAGTAAAGGCTTTTCCTTCTCCACTTTGCTGCTACAAGTGTCTTTTTATGAGTACTGTTAATAACCATTATTATTTAAAAAATAGTGAGGCTGCTGTTACAGTAGTGCTTTGAGATGTGTAAGAAGTGAATGCAAATCATCTCTGATTTCCTTGAGAAAGTAGAGGAGCATGGTTTCTTGTTTGACTGAAATGCCAGAAGCATTTAGCTGTGCTTTGCAGTTCTTGCCTGTACCACCCATGAAATAGTTCCCTTATCCCAGAAGAGGTACCCAATACAATAGATATTAATTTGCATAAGAGGCTGTTTTCTAATTATGAACACTTTGTGTGTCCAGGGACTTTGATTAGTGACGAATTGAAACTAGGGAAGAATATGAATAGCTTGAGGGAAGGAGGACAAAAATGAGAAAATTACAATAGAAATTGACAGGAGTAAGATGAAAGCAATCTTTTTGTAAAAGTATTCTGTTTAAACATAGCAGATAGAAAGCCATTTTGGGCTAAGTAATAAGGAATCATATGTTCATTAACAAGAATTACAAATAATTAGTTATTATTAATACAAGTAAGACAGAAGATTAATTGAATTCTTTACTGAGGGGTAATTAGGAGAGAAGAATGTGGAATATGCAGAGATACTTCTGCTTTCCTTACTGCTTTCTAAGGAAATCACCAGAGCCTTGCCTGTGGAAAATGTGTACATTTAAATTTTTGATAGTTTTTCTTTTAATTCTGTATATGTCAATGTAAAAACATGTATATTAAAAAAAAAAAAAAAAAAAGGGGGGGGGGGGGAGGCAAACCAGGACTTGTATTGCATGTGATACATTTAAGCTGCAGAGAAAGCAAAGCAACAGGCTCTTCTGCACCAAATTCTGCTCTGGAGCTGGTTTTGAATCTTTTCAGCCAGAGGTATTTGCTACTTTCCTGAGATACATACCTTGGGGAGGATAACTTTGTCTGTGTTGGGTTGTAAAAGCATAGAGGGTCAGTTTTTTTGATCTCGTGTGACCTTGTTCAAAGACTACTTTAACTTCTGTATCAAAAATTACTGGATTCATAGGTCCTATACTGCAGCACAGGTGTGTGCTATACATGGGTTTAATGCAGGATATTGTAGTCTTTATTTCAAATAGAAATTTTAAGTGGGGTGGTTAAGTTTTGTATATTGAAGCCTGAGAGAGACAGTCACAGATTGTAAATTGATCATGAATAGCTTTACATATGTGCAGCAAATTCAATGTGTTGTACCAGTACTGTGAAAGTACAAGGAAAGCTGTGTTTCATTTCCTCTTCATGTAGGACTTGACCATGTAATATGGAACACCCAAAGCCTCTAGGCACAGGAGACGTTTGTAAAGTTTGTAAAAGTAAGCTAACTCATGTTACTAACAAAAAGTGGAAGTTGAATCAGCTTTTGTTTGTCTTGCAAATATATCCATGTAATCTTGTTTTTGAGATGTGTTTGTGTGTTATTGTGTTTATAACTAGGTTTGAAGATTCTGCATTTGAATTAATTATAAGAAGTTAGCAAGTATTTTGTGCTATTCATGTTGACTTAACTCAGAATGGTACAATCTGTCAAAAGGGTCATCATGTCTGTCTTCTCCAGATCACAATTCAATTCCCATGACTGGAGAACATTTAATAATTTCAGATACTAGCTTTATCCTGTTCTGCATAATAAGACCCCTAACTAGTTCACTTTGGTGTGTGTGTTGGAGTTTTAATATTTGGCTAAAGGTAGACTGAGTCTGCAGCAGAGGCAATTCAATCATTTGATCAAAGAAATTAAGGTAAAGTGTCAAGTCCCCCTCTGCTTTCTTGCTCCCAACTGCATGATTCAGCCACCTTCTCATGTCAGCCTTGGCTCTTCTCAGAGCCTTTGCTGAATTGCTCGGACTTAGCAGTGCAGCTGAGAACTTCCCACTCAAGAGGAAATGGAAGGTAGTATTCTGTCACATGTAGGGAGCTGAGCTGTCCTGAATGGCAGAGCTGGCACTGGGCAAGTGAAGGGAGTGGAGGAAGGAATGCCAGCAGTACTGAACTGTGAGATGAGCTTGCTCTTCTTTGCAAAACTTGAACTGGCTGGTTACAAAGCCATGCCATCACACGTTGAAGAGGCTGGACAGAAGTGCTTCAGGGTACTGTCTGGTAAACAAAACGGAACTTTTTTCTCATTCAGAAGTGATGCTTTTTCTGTCTTTGTTTTCTGTTCCACATATTCCTTTTCTTGTAATTCCCTCCCTTCCCCATGCCCCAGAAAGAGTACACAAATAATCAATTCTTATTTAGTTTGTGGAATAATTAAGCTGCAGAGAATTTTCTTAATACTAACACTGGGGAGACAAAGTAGTCCATAATATTGGTACTAGGCTAGAACTGGGACATTACAGCTCTGTCAGCGAAGCTCCTGTTAGTCTGGTTGAGTTTGATAGAAATTAGTTATTTTAAGTACTGATTGTCTTGATATAAGAAAACCCAAACCTATATCCCACAAAGATCAAAACATAACTGTCTCCTGAGTGATGACTTTGGAGCTGGAACACTGCTTAGTAGTATTTGCTGATGAGAACTACCCTGCTCATTTTTAACCCTTCTACCTGAGATGATGAAATAGGTTTAGAACCATCCTGACACTGTTGACTAGGAAGGACCATTCCTTAGCCTTTCCAGAGCCTTCAGCAGTGTTTCTGCAGCCTCATGATTCTGAAAGTCACTAGAAACCTTCCCTGCTGATTCTTTTCCTACCTTGCTTTTAGGTGAAGGCAAAACGTGTTTATTTGTTGATAATATTTTTTTTAAGAGTACATCTGTTGATTAGTGTTATGTTTTGCTTTTGCTGGGTGTTCCTAACATGTGATACCACATTTCTTTCTGTCAGAAAAAAATCTTCTGAATTAATTGTAATGTGTGGAAATGTTCAACTTTTAAAATGTGTTTATCTGTTTATGGGCATTAAACAACTGGAAGAAAATGGTTTAATGAGTAATACTGCCTTTTCTAACATAGCAAGATTCAACACATTATTATGGGTATGGATGGTTTGTTATACTATTCATTTTATGTAGAGCTCACTATGCCAAAAATATGAATCTCTTTTTTTCTTGTTTGTTTTGGTTTTTTTTAGATGTTAAGGCAGATCTGTACCACTACAGCAGTGCAGAGGAAAAATGTAGGAGCCTCAGGACCTGAAAAGTACACAGAGGCATTTATTAAAAAACAGGTTGAAGAGTTCAACCTCGGAAAGAGACATTTAGCCAACATGATGGGAGAAGATCCAGAAACTTTTACCCAAGAGGATATTGATGTAAGTACAGTTGCTCTGTTGGAGAAGTAATTTACTGTAGAGTTTCAGATATTGAAAGCACTTCACTTCAGCATGAGCCCCTCAGCTCTTTGTGAATTTTAATCAAACTGTCAGAATAAGAAAGAATACTGCTATACATTGCAAACATTACAACTGTGACTGTGAATAGAGATTCTACTCCTGCTACTGTGTGAGGTCAGACATCACAGTATAGAGCTGTGTACCATATCTTCCTAAAGCACAGTAGGTTCTTTTTAAACGTACTAATGGATAATCCCCTTGATCTGAGGTTGTAAGAGGCACTGTAAAGGTTTATGTAGCACTTCAAAACGTTTACCCACAGTTTGACCTGTTGTGTATATTTAGGTCAGGTTTTCTTGTACAATACTGTGGTTGCTGGTGATGCAAATGAAATTTTATAGGCTGTTTTACAGCTAACACTCTGGTTTAGCTTAGGGATTTTAACATAGACATGAATTTAAGCTCATATCAGTAGCTCCAAACATACTATTTTATTGCTGTTCCCTCTGGCAACTGACGGGTTGGTGGCCTCCTCTTCCTCTCTTGTCATTTGGGCTCACGTATAGATATGCTCCCTTTCACTCAGAAATGTTTTGTTGATTGGATTTTTTTTAGTGTCCCAACTGGTCTTTACTTCTGTTACTTCTGTATTACTTTATCACATATCAGAGGCAGGGAGGAGAAATGTCATTTGGAGACATTCACTCTTAAGGTGAAGCTTCATGAAATCTCTTGGTTAAAGCTTTCTTTGTGCATCATCAGCACTTAGTATAGCCATGGCAGCACAATGAATCAGCAGTGCCCTTAGGGTAGACGTAGTAATGTGATACCTGCTGAGAGTGTGTTGTGTGTGGTTTATTTTTTTCAGGGTGAGGATATTGCTTGTTGCCTCTCTCAGTGGCAGAATTCTGTCAGCATAGCTGTGTCCATATGAGAGGTCTTGACAGCATGCTTATACCAAGAAAAAGTTAACATCTGTAGGTAGTGATATATAGGCTGATTTCAAACACATTTGACAGGCTTCAAAAGTAAGTTCTCAACACTCCTCTGAAAATACACAGCAAAGTAGAGAAGCGACACAGTTAGTGGCCTGCTGAGAAAAAGCCTGAAGTGAGACTGGAGTTTTATCAGGTATCAAAAAAATCCATAAGGGAAGCTTGGCTTCAAGTCACAAATCCGTAGGAAATCAAGCTTTATGAGTACAAAGCTATGCACTGATGCTTTGACTACTTTCATTCAGAATCATAGATACCACTTTGTTCTTCTACAATCAGGTGCCAGTGCAGAGACACTTCTGGTCTCAGTGTGGAGTGGATGAGGTCCTGTCAACAGTAAAAGTATTAATTGAGGCATCTGGGTCAGCAGTAGTAGTAACCTCTTCCTTTACACTGGCTTTCTTATTTCTGTACAGACTATAGAATTCCATTTTTTTGTATTTTTGAGATGCTTTTCTTATTTTTGATGACCTTTGTCTCTTTCAGTTAACTTTCTTGTAAAGTATTCGTGCAGACACCTGCAATCAGAATACGTCCCCTGTTAGTACAGTATGATGATGCTTATGGTACCTTTTGTTTGCCTGAAATGTTAGTGGTAGAAGAATACATTAACCTGCAGTCTGGCTTCCTTCACTGGTAGGGTCTAGGGGGAAGGCTGACAGACAGCAAGACTGCAAGAAGTGCAAAATGACTAAGTAGTGGTTTCTTCTTTATGAATCCACAGCACTATGATCACTTGCAAAAAATTAACTGAGCTTCATTCTTAGTAAAAACGGATTTATTCTGGAAATTAGGTTTTACAAGTGCTTTGCAGGTGAAAAGTATGGAACCACTTTGCAGACTTGGTTTCTGAGAAGATGAAGTGAAGCCAAAAGAGTAGTGTTTTGTTTGGTGCTAGCAGGTATCTGTGGTACATGTTTTAAGTTCTTCATATTCCAACACATGTTGGAAAATACATAAGATTGTGTAATAGTGTCTGCTATGCATAATTAAATTTCTGTTATAAAAATATAAAAGCTGCTTAGGGACTGGCAGAAGAATTATCAAGCTTTACATTCCAAACTGAAATAATTCTTTCTGATGAGTGCTTATATATCTTGAAGTCTTCTGCTGTTAATCAGTCTGCACAGTGTATTTCAAAACTAGACACTGTAGGATTCTGTCCTTCACTGGAGTTTTAGGTATAGTTTAAAAAAAGCTGAACCTTGTGAAGTTTTAAACATGAAAATAAGTTGACTTACTTGATAATCTTTCTGGATATTGTGGAAGCAGAATTGCCTCTTAGTGAGGCTTTTATTTAGGAATAAAAAGTTAAGCTCTGCATTACAGCTGTATTTCTGGAGGAGAAAAAAAAAATCCAGTAAATTGATATATAACTCTGCTGAAGTCTACCAATTGCTTTTTAATTGGTATTATAGACCTCACTCTGAAGCTAGGATGTTTTATTCTCCTATGTGTGAATATGTGCTATGAAGTTTCTCTAATTGATTTGCTTTGCCCATTCCATTTGATGTATCATTTTTCACAATATTTCATAATTTGTGCTCATTTCTAATGAACAGAGTCGTTAGGACAGGCATGTCTAAGTACAACTGACAGCTAACATTAGGTGCCAGATGCAGTTTATAAAGCTATGTAGAACTGCAGAGAACAGTTTAAATAAATTAGCACCTGTACATTAGTCTCACTTGCTGGTAATTTATAAGCGAATCAGTAGAGATGACATTTAGGTAAGTCATTGATCAAGTTAACAGCTGCATACCCACTGCCCAGCTGGGATACCTAATTAATAGAGATTGCAGTCCTGACCTAGTGCTTTTCCCTGTTTGAGTCTGTAATCCTTTATTTTGTGATTTAGCTTTAACTTGTGGTTGTAGTAAACAGCCCACCTTCATTTTCTATTGTCAGTTCTGTGATGTTCTACTTTAAAGCCCAGAAATCTAAGTAAGATTAATACAGGAAAAGTGTCTTAATCTTCATGAGCTATTTATGTGCCAGTATTTTTATTATTAATTTTTATTCAGTCACTAAATGTTCTCCCAGATATGAGCTCATCATAGAGTGATCCTCTTTCCCCATAAGAGTTAGCAAAACTCAAAAGCTAGAGATCTGTTTGTTTTTCTTGTTGCTTGCCTTACAACCTAATAGATTGTTGTCAGACAGATGGAATAATTTGAATCTAAAATGTATGTATATCTTCACTAGCATGTATATTGTTGTAAACGTACCAGTGAAGTTGTTAACTGTGTAAATGTTAAATGTAGAAAAACTTAATTCCTTATAGGGTAAAGTTTCTTTTGGTGAATTAAGACTTCTTTAATGAAAAATAGATTGTATTCAGTTGCTTTTAAAAGTGGCTCAGCATATGTGATTGCTAAAATGTAAATGTTATTTAGAAACTCAGTGTTAGAAATGAGTGAATACTGGCATATGTGAAATGTCAGTAACATTATTCAGAACAAAATGCATTTCTGAACTTTGTTGTCTGCAGTAAGAGTGTGTTGTCCAGCACTGTCCTTACAAGCAACACTGGATTTTGTATTGTAAGGTAAACTTTGGTGTGTAGCAGGTTGGTTTGTTTGTTAAACTTTTGTCTTGTTAAATAAAAAAGCTATTTCAGAGTTAATATTCCACATCCCATTTTTGTTTCATTCATTCCTAGTTCTACCCCAAATATATTCTGGATTTTGGATGCTGAAAACTTTTGAAGTGTACTTCCAAGTGTGGTTAGAAGGAAAAACAGCTGTTCCAGCAAACGTTTCAGTATGAGAAATGCTGAAGTGCAGTGGCTAAATAATGTGATTCAAGAGGCAAGGTATAAGTGGCTCTTGTGTGATCAAGTTGAGGAGTAAAAGAAGCTGAAACAGCTGTAGTACATGCTATTCTTTAAAACCTTATGGCATAAAGTGTCATTTCTTACCTCACTGTTTTGATGATTGAAGTTTCATGTATATTTAAAAAGGAATGAACTGTATTGTTGAACTCTGCCAAAATGGGTGGTGCTGCAAGGGATCACTGGGTGGAGAGGTTTTTTATTATTTGTTCTCTTGCTTTCTACAAAATCTTATCTGACTGGATTTTGCTTAGATAACTATATTTGCACATGATTTGAGCAATGAAAATTAGTGGAATGTTTTGCGTTTAAGCTGTAGATTCAACAGAAGTGGGGGAAGATGCTTCAGCAAGATCAGCTTGGCCTGCCAGACCTCTCTTGCTTATGGCAGGTTATTTAAAGTCTCAGCTGTGTCAGTCTCCTTCCCATATTCCAGGATAACACAGTCAACTCTATTTGAATTACTGAATTCTCAATTTCTCAAAACATTAAAAAAAAAGTAATCCTGACTGACCCAGCTGAACTTGTTTAATTCAAAGTTAACCTCTGATGTTTGAGAACGTGAGTGAACAAGACTTAACTACCTTGTAGATAGGAGGTGAAAGAGGATGAGAAGTCAACATATGCTACATGCTCAATGAAGAGGGAAAATGCAGGTGGGGCAGATACACTGAATTTGTACAATATGCCACATGCAGTGCTGAACAGGTTATTTAATGAATTGGTTTGCATGTTTGAAGGACTGCCAGGTAGGGTGTTTTTTTTTTTTTATAGGGATGGAAGCTTGCTCTCGTTATTACAACTGGCTTGAATTCAGACGTGTAGTGAAAGACATTGTGGTCCTGTGGGCAGTATATATGCCCCTGAACAAGTGATGAAATAACAGGACTAGTTTGTTACAGAAATGTTGACTTTACCAACACATTTTAAGAAATGTCTGATGGAAACCATCTTGTTGCTAATGCTTTTTTATGATCTGCTATTTCTGAAGGTGTGACTATCTTATTTTTTTACTACACATGGGTGTTGAGAATTAGTTTTTCCCAAAATACCCCTTTTCTACAGAGCCAAAACATTTGCATAGACAAAATCACCTTCTATAAATGAAGCTTCCAAGAGGCAGATTGATTTGCTATGCAAGTGCTAAAAGTACAGTAAGAGGACACAGCTTTTTAAAATTAAGAAGAAACTTCTGAATAAAGTTGAACTGCAGTCGGTTGCATCCCAGGATAGTTCCTAATGGGGTATAAAGATCCGACCCTTGATTGCATTTCCATAAAAAATAAGACTGTTTATTTCCATTTTGAAAAAACAAAAAAGCAAACTTAAAGTGAACTGTTATTCTTTGGCTAGTTGTGTGGGGAGCTGGAAGTAGATGGTAGGATTTCTTACTGCAAGCTTTGTTTATTCTTTATCATGAAAGATGTGTATACACTTGAGCAATATAGAAGAAACTTTCTAGCAGCAGAAGGTCTTAGATGGCAGCCACTCTCTTAATTATAACTGTTAAATTGTTATATTTGTCATTTATTAAGGTGTCATAGTTACAGTAAATGTTTTGACTGAGATTCTGAAAATGCTTGTATAAAGACCATGTCTTAAGTACACACAGTCTCAGTATCCTGTAATAAATTCTTTTAATGTATTATATAAGGTGTTTGTTTAACATCATTTGGCTCACAGCAGATTTCTCTATTGTCATCATAATTAATCCTCATTTGTTCATAAATAGGTGTTCACCTACTGTGTGTATGCATAAAATGCCCATTGACTAACAAATGGGAATACAGTAGTCACTAAGAGAAACAAAATTACCATTTCATAAAATCAAGTTAAGCCTTTTGTTTGCTTCAGAATTCTCAAAATTTCTGTTCAGAATGCCAGTAGGGGATTAATGGAAGTAATAGGTTAGATCTTTTTACACTCCATGCATAATAAATCAGTTGAAACACTGAAAAACCACTCTGTGTCCATGGAAAAAATTACCAGCAAGTAATAGCCCTAAGGTAGCCTAACCAACAAAGAGCCATTCTTCTTAAGAGAAAATTTTAAACTCTGATTTTATTGTAATTCTACTTTTCTGTATTGTCTAATGAAAATATAAATGAGATCACTGCCAGAAGGGTTTATTCAGCTATTCTCTGTTACTGTAAAAGCACATTTCTGTCTCCAGCTCTACTACCCACTGTCTGAAGTTGGCTCCACTTGCCAGACCCCCCCTGCATCTGAGGGTTTTTGATGGCTAGCCTTTTCAGTTTCGTTTTTAAAAACAAATAGAAATAAATAGCTCATAAATGCATATTTTTGCTTTATAAAATTATGTTTTAGTTACACTGAAGAGAGAAAGTAAGCTGATGAACAGAAATGCATGTTACTGGGTTTAACCTTGTAAAGTGCTGAGCCTTACGTTTTGCCAGAATGATTTGGAATATTGGTGTACCTACTTTGTTGGAGGCAAATACTACTAATTTTGTACATCACATGAATAGTTGCAAATATTGGTTAAGTAAAAGCAAATTATATACCTTGTACTTAGTGAAAACAATGGTAAACAATGTATTGAGTGCCATACATTTATCTAAATAGTTTTATCAAACCCTTAGGTATCTAAGGGAGAGTAAAGATGACATTTAAAACTCTGTCTTCTCTGAGCAATTAAAGTTCAGCGAAGATTGTAGTGATTCACAGTTGTTTCCAAATGCAGTGATCAATGAAATGCTTATTTAGGCTATGTAAAATATCTTCTACTGTCACAACAAAAACTGCTTTTAGACTTGAGTGAACTACATCTTTAGAAACAGGGATTCTAAATGTGTAAAATTTTGCTTTGTCCAGTAGCTTTAAATAAAATTTTCATGCTTGATCTGTCACTAGGCACTGTTAACAAGCACTGATACTTTCTAGAAAAATAAATGTGATTTCCTTTCCAAGTCACAGCACTGGTGGTCTTTATTTACACTTGTGTAGTTCCGGTAAGTTATGATAAATGCATACCTAAAACCTAAACTTTGCAGAAGAAACTTCACTTATTCTGACACGTTAGAGTACAGCCTTCAGAATGAGGCTTTACTTTTGCTGAGGACTCCTGAGGAAATGATCTGCTTTTCTTTTCAGCACAGCACATACGTGCCAGTCTTTATTACTGAGTTTGTTGCCTGCTGTTACAAACATTATGTTATTTTAGTTTACAAGAAAATACTCAATAAATGTTTTGATTATGCTTTTGTGAAAAAAAAAAATACATGGTCTCTCTTTTTGTTTTCAGAGTGCTATTGCCTATCTCTTTCCTTCTGGCTTATTTGACAAAAGAGCCAGGCCCATAATGAAGGTAGGATTTTTTTGTTGCATTTCTGAATAATTTCAATATGATATTTTAAGTAACTTTTTCGTTTTGTTGATATTTGTTTGTTTATTTACAGCATCCTACTGAAATTTTTCCAGAGCAGAGGAGTAAGTATTCATAGATATTTTTTATTACTATGGCTAAGTATAATAATTTTTGCATATGTAGGTTTCCTTATTTTTACACATTTACTTTTTTTGCTGTGTTCCTAATAACTGCTCAAACATAGTTGTAAAAGTCTGATCTGATATTCTAGCTTTAAAGATAAAAAATACTGTTGGATTCTGGAATACCAGTGGTCTATTCAGACATTTTGTTAACTGATTATAGATAAATGTTTTTAATTGTTTAAAAATAAACAGTAGGTAGGATGACGTACAGAATTCGTTGAAGTCACTGGAAAACCTTTTGTTGAGTTTAGTAGCTTTTTGTCAGAACTGTCTATCACAATCATAAAATATTCATTAATACTATTTTAGATGAAAAAAAATTCCTGGTAACATCTTTTCTCTAAAAGCTTAGAAATTACAGCTTTGAAAATGCCAGTTGAGAGAAAAGGGAGAGTGGAAACTCTCCCAATTTTGTCTCCAGTTTTACCTGGAAGTTCTAACTCTGCACTTAGATCTGTGTTGTCTTTGCCCTGCTCCTGCGGTACCATATTGAGTGCCAGTCCAGTTGTCACTCATGCTGATATGTTGGGTACTGAGAACTTCACCAACATTGCCAAATTAATTTTACATGGAATATCTAAAAGATGAGTCAAAACCTGTTGTCCACTTTTGACTCACGTTTAGTATGAACAAGTAGCATGAGTGGGAAATTGTTCATGCACTCATCTATGGAGTCCCGGATGAATGCTTCTGATTATCAGCAAAATCTTCCCATTTTCTTTCCTTCCTTTTCCTGTTCCTGGAATTGATACTCAATGTTTTTGGGCTTCTGTGTGTCTTTTAGAAAGCTGTCTAAATTATCTGAATTTTTGGAATTTCAGCTCTCAAATGGTATCACGCATTATTTTCTAGCTTAATAATATCGTGAAGTAAAAAAGTAGAAAGTAAAAGGGTAAGAGAGAGTTCATCCTTAGGTAGTTTTAAAATCCAAGGGCTGTTTCATGGTAGAACTAAGCTACTGTTCTAGGTGCTTTCAGGACTAAAGAATTTTTTGGAATGGTAGCTGTGTCCTACGGAGTGTAAGTACTAATGAGTATAAAAGTTTGTCTTTACATCTAAAAATGACAACTTTCAATAAGGATCACTTTTAATGCAGCTTAGTCTAGTCTGTTCACTACATCTTTGATAACTTCAAAGTTCAGTAATATAAATTTATACTTCAGAACATTCCCTGGACAGCAGTTTCAACAAAATACGCTTTCACAGCTGCATATGTAGAAATTCACACACCCCACTAGTGGTAGTGTGGGTAGAAGCCCCCTGTATTCCTTCAGTTCTAGTACATTTTTCATCTTTCAATTCAACTTCTGCCATATTATGTCATAATATCCTATTGCAATACATATGCTTATCAGGCAGGTTCTTGGAGTCTCATCTTTGTTTATAGCTTATAGACAGCTTCATTTGAACTACACTGCATAAAATGTTTGAGTTTCTCTGCAGTTCAAATTGTAAAAAGCTTTCTGGTTTTATATTTGTCACTTTAGAAAAAAAAATTGTTGTGTTATGTTTAAGTTGATTTATTTTCTGAAGTTGAAACTTATTTGTCCTTAAATAACAGTTTTTAAAGAAAAAAAATAAGCTAGGTGTGCTGAATGATATGGAACGTGTTTTTGAGCTGAAATAATAATATAAACTGTAGTTTAGGTCTTTGTATTTAAATGTCCCAAATATGCTAACGTGAACAAGTCCTGAAATCACACAAATTCTGAATACAGTTATGTTACCTGCAAAAGACAATTATATGAATACTTAATTTAAGTTAGACATAATATGCTAAGAGAAAATTTGCTCTGGGTTTAAAGCACTTTTTTTGGGAGCTGTTAATCTTTCATCTTTCACAATCATTATGTCGATGTCAGTAGTCTCTTAATTTGTACTTCTTCCTATTCTAAAATGGATATTTTATCTATAATGCCAACTTTACAGTCTTTGAGAGGTTATTGAAGATATTCATGAGGAATTCCCTCGTGTTAAATGATATTTAGAAATATTGAACTTTTGATTATAATTGCTGATGGAGTTTGGTTTTTAACAAGGTAGTCTAAATCATTAGATTCCCAGACAAGTTGGATACCTGTAAAATGTCTTTGTTCTCTGATATTTAAAAGGTAGTCAGTATTGTTAAAGAGGTTTATAACTGCAATTAAATACAAGTATGTTTTTAGTGAGTGTATATTATTTTCTTATCTTCCTTCTCATTAGAAATCCAGTGGGGAGAAGATGGTCGACCATTTCACTTTCTTTTTTATACTGGCAAGCAGTCATATTATTCATTAATGCATGTAAGTATGTTATAATCTATAATAAATAATTTTACCTCCCAGTCAAGTACTTGTTATTCTAGAGATGCATGTCGGGAGCTCCTGAGTTTACTTTACTCATGTTTTCACAGTAGGCCATAGTATCACCAGTGAAGCTAAATACATTGTATATTTTTATGTCAAAATATCCATTTTTAGGGGCATTTTAATCTCGTATTTAAGGGAAGAAACTACGTAATGCTTTTTACTTTAATTTTTTGTTTATTTTACAAGTTTGGCTATGGTCTGGGTTTGAATAGTCTGAACACTTGTAGGCTGTATCTGCTTAATAGCATAAGGTTAGTGGTGGAGGATGTGTGTACAACAAAAATGGCTAGTTTTAGGAAAATTCATTGTAGGATAAAAAAATCAGGGGCTTTTTTCCCTTCAAGGGCAGAGCTATAGGAAATGTTATTTATGCTGACATTTAGTGTGAAGAAAATTTGCATTTAAACTGCTTAATTGATTTTTCTAAGACTGCTCTATTTGCAAACTTAAGGCTTTTTCTGATAAGTATGGTTCCAGGAGTAAAGGACCTGCATCTGTTTACCGTGAAAAAGGCTGTATCTAGTAGAACATTGCTAGACCCTGAGTCTTAATGTGGATTATGAACAGACACTTCATGTATATGACCATCGATGATGCAAGCATTATCTACCTCTTTAGAAGAGTTTACAGAAAGATGTGCAGGTTCCTTACTTGTATTTAGAGAAAACAAAAGCATTAATAATGTATGCAAGAATATCGAATTAGACAATAATGTCAGACTGTATTTCCTCATTAGATAGTCTTAAAAAGTTAGTTCCATGGTTAGTTTGTTGTAAAAAAAAAAAAAAAAAAAAAAGGTTATCAAACTGGGTGCACAGCTTTGCTGAGTGTAGTGTTTCTATTAGAATTATCTGATATTTATTTGCGTTCAGCGTACCTAAAGGACAACATCCCCACTTGTCAGGTACATTTGTTTCCTTGGGAGAATAAAAACCACCCCTCCTCTCTTTTTTTTTGTTGTTGACCTTGGGCAAATGAGCTTCTTGCCCTGGCAGAAATGAAATGAATGATAAATGTATAGAGTGTCTTTGCTGAGTAATGGAGCTGCATCACAGGCTTTCCACAGAGGTTTTCTCCTGCACAGCCTGAGGCAGCCCGAGGACCCCTGCTGTTCATTTAAATAGGTATGTCAAATCTGCCTCGAAACGCCGCTGGTTTGATCTGTGGTAATATTTGTGAAGGTTCCATATGGACTTGAGCCCCCTGCAGTGCTAAGAAATAATGTACAACGCTTCATGGTGCAGACGCAAATTTTCTCTGAAAAGGGATGCAATGCTGCGTTTTAGCTGTCGGAGAGGATGATGGAGCTGACGCGCTAGGCCTGTCAACTTGTTACACGGATGGGTTGCACGCAGCGAGGCTGTGGAAAATCTGTGCCTTTTAACTTTTCTACTTAATCACGGTTGTAGCATTGCCTTTAGACTGTATGCTACATTAATTCTCTTCCTGCCTTCTGCCTTTCATCCCAAGTTTCACGGAAAAAAGTAAAGCATGCAGGTCTTGTAGAGGAGCCTTATCAAACAGCTGTCATCTGACAAGCCATTTGCATTTGTTTTGGCTGAAACAGAGCAACCCAAGGGCAAGATGTTTTGTTGCATTCCATCATAATGAAGAAATTACAAATTTTACAAGGAGCACAAGTTTATTTTTAGCCCTTCCTAGCAGTTAGAAAAAGTATGCAAGCTTGTCTTGGAAATCTCTAAAAGAACAGTGTGCATCTTGTTACTAACAGTGTAGCAACCACCTTCAAACAAATCAGTTTGGCAAATGCGTTTTTCATTAGTATAGGATGCTTTAGTGTTCTTTCACTGTTTCTAAATATTTTCATGAAACAAGCTTCTATAAACCTAAATCCTTTAAGTGAGGTTTAACAGGGTTTTTTTAGTCAGCCAAATGAAAGCTGAAATCTGCATGAAATTCCCGACATTGTTTTAACCTCTTATTAGACTAATGTGTATTTAAGAAAATGTATTTTTAAATCTCAAAGCTAATTAATTCAGCTAGGGGAAAAAAAGGGTTGTATGTTAATACAGTCTAGTGTAAGTAATCAATCCCATTTGAGGATGTCCTTTGAATTGCTACATTAAGTCTAATAAATAGGATAAGCATAGTATTTAGCTTAAACTTGTACACCACTAATTACTACATAGACTTATATGGAACTTTAATTTTATTAATTGCTAGTAATATAACTGGTCGCAGCATTATTTGTTTAGTTAATGCTGATAAATAATATTATCTACTTAGTAAAAACAGACTAAATATATTCACATGTATTGTAACTGCCAATATATATGTGATGTTATTGTTTTTTGCTTTACGCTCCATTGTTTTCTTTGTTCTGCCTGTTGAATAAAGTTTAGCTGTAGGGGAAAGAAC